CAGGTGCCTGGGAGCACCTGTCCTTGTGTGCAGTGCAGCCAGGCAGGCCTTCCTGCAGTGAACAAAATATTGCCATCCCTGTTTTTTTGTTTTTCTTTTTTCTTTTTAAAGATTGATTTATTTTATTTATTGTGTATACAGGGTTCTGTCCACATATCTGCCTGCAGGCCAGAAGAGGGCACCAGATCTCATTCAGATGGTTGTGAGCCACCATGTGGTTGCTGGGAATTGAACTCAGGACCTCTGGAAGAGCAGTCAGTGCTCTTACCCTCCGAACCATCTCTCCAGCACTCACCGCCCCTCCCTCTTTTTAATATCAATTTTTTATTTTTTTGAGACAGAGTTTCTCTGTTCTCTGTGTAGCCTTGGCTGTCCTGAAATCTGCTCTGTAGACCAGACTGGCCTCAAGCTCTTAGATATCCTCCTGCCTCTTCCTAGTGCTGGGATTGGATGTGTGCCATCACTGACCCATCCCTTTGTTCTTTTGGGAGACCAGCCTCAGGCTCTCCAGGTATCGTCAGTAGCTTTCTTAGATGTAGGCTAGAGCTTTTTATTTATTTATTTATTTTATTTATTTTTTAAACTTTTTTCTTTTTTTTAAAGATATATTTATTTATTATGTATACAACTTTCTGCCTCCATGTATACCCACACACCAGAGGATGGCGCCAGATCTCATTACAGATGGCTGTGAGCCACCATGTGGTTGCTGGGAATTGAACTCAGGACCTCTGGAAGAGCAGACGGCGCTCTTAATCACTGAGCCATCTCTCCAGCCCTGGCTAGGGCTTTTTAGAGCCTGTCCTGGAACTCACTCTGTAGACCAGGCTGGCCTCGAACTCACAGAGATCCGCCTGCCCCAGCCTCCTGAGTGCTGGACATGTGTCACCTCAGTCTCTCCAGATGAGGAGTGCCCTCCCCTCCGTGGAGCCCCTGCCCTGTGTGGGTCTCCGCCCTCGTGTTGCTTCACCCTGGTGCCTTGGCCTGGTCCATAAAGGAGACAGGAGAGGGTTGGCGCTGAGTCTCATTGGCCTCCTAAAGCTCACCTGACGTGCTCTTGTCTCCAGCCTTGCACTCTCCAGCCTGAACAAACATGCCGAGGCTGTGGCTTACTATAAGAAGGCCCTGGAACTGGACCCTGAGAATGACACATACAAGTCCAACCTCAAGATCGCGGAGCTGAAGCTGCGGGAGGCGCCAAGTCCCGTGAGCCTATTCTACAAGAGGGGGTGATGGGAGGCCATGCTGGAGCACCTGCTCTAGGAGGGCTTTCAGGAACATGGGGCAGAGTAGGCCCCGGGGCCATGTAGGTCATAGAGGAACTGAGGACATGGAGCAGGACCCTCCATGGTCTGTGTGATGGTGACAGGTCTGAAGGTCACAGACAAGGTGGTGGGGTGCAGGCTGTGCAGGGGTTCACAGTGACAGGCAGGCTTGTTGGGGGCTCCTGGCAGGACCCTCTCTGAATGGTGTAGAGCTTCCGAGACCCTGAGGGCTGCGGCCAGTCGTCTTTTCCCCAGAGTGGCCAGGCTGGCTCCAGACACCACTAACTGATGCTTCTCCTTCAGACGGGAGGCGTGGGCAGCCTGGACATTGCCGGCCTGCTGAACAACCCGCACTTCATCACCATGGTAGGTACACAGCTCAGCCTCCACAGACCAGACCAGGGTTCCCGCCCCAAGCCTGCCCCTATGAGGAGGCTGTGGTGCACTGTGTCTGCACTTTGGGCACTGCAGCCTCAGCCAGCAGGGATTGTTTGCAGTTCTTGCTGAACTTGTCACTCCTAGGGTGTCTGGCTCTGTGGGCATGCCGTTTGGAGAATGGGCTGGGCCTTGCTGCCATGCCCCCCCCCCCAGCCATGTGTCGTCTCCAGAGGGCAAACATGGCTGTTTGGGGGGGACTGGCCTGTGTGAGGCCTGGAGCCCTCCTCAGCCTTGGAAAGAAAGGAACCCGTGTCAAGTCGGAAATCTGTTGGGACTGTCCGCCCTCTGGGGCCAGTGTGGCTTCCTCCTAATGCGTCTGTCTTCTTCCTCTTCAGGCTTCCAGCTTAATGAACAGTCCCCAGCTGCAGCAGCTGTAAGTGACACTGCCCCGCTGTCCTTCCCTGCTAGAGTACGTGTGTGCGTGACTCAGTGAGGCCAGAAGGGGGGTCAGATCCCTGTGAGCTGCCGTGTGGGTGCTGGGAACAGAACCCAGGACTTTGATGGGAGCAGCCAGTGTTCTGTGAATCATTTCTCCATCCTCTGTTACAATTTTTTTTTTTTTTTTTTTTTTTTTTGGTTTTCCAAGACAGGGTTTCTCTGTGGCTTTGGAGCCTGTCCTGGCACTAGCTCTGTAGACCTAGTGAGGCTGGTCTCGAACTCACAGAGATCCGCCTGCCTCTGCCTCCGAGTGCTGGGATTAAAGGCGTGCGCCACCACCGCCCGGCTTACAATTTTTTTTTAATAAGAGAAAGCCAGAGTTGTTGCTTTTGTTTGTTAGTTTGTATTTGTATAAGAGAAATCCAAAGTCTACTTTAGTATTTATGTTTTGAGGCAGGGTCCCACTGCGTAGCTCCAGCTGGGTGTAAACCAAAACAGCCTTGACCTCTGTGCTGAATTAAATGCAGCCTTGCTGTCCTAGAGTTCACGAGTCACCAGGTTGTCACACAGCTGCTGCACCTGCTGCCTGCTTAGCCCTTCAGTCCCCCTGGTCCAGTTCTCTCCCCATCTCAGCACCCACAGCTTGACCTCTCGACCCTGTGGGCCAGTTGTGGGCATTTATTTCCCATTATGGCGTTGTGTCTGGGCCTCTGTGTGCGGCTCTTGAATGACATAGATCCCTTGGGTCCCCTGGCGCTATGGTGTGGGTCAGAGCCTCCTGTTGAGAGCTGTCAGGAGCCATTTGTCCTGACTGCTGTCTGCCATGCAGCTGTGTGCGTGGTGCTGCTGGCTCATTCTCTATAGGGTGTCCGAGGTCTCCTTTAATTCCTGCCAGCTCCCCACATTGTCAGTTATGGCAAACACATGTGGACTCAGCTTACAGCCCGAGAGGAGGGGGCGCAACTGTGGGAAGGGCCTGCTCACCCGACGAGTTGTCTGTGGGTCCTGGGACAGAGGCAGGGCTGCACAGGCTGTGTGCTTAGTCCTTTCTCCTGCAGGATGTCAGGCATGATTTCTGGCGGCCATAACCCCTTGGGCACCCCGGGCAGCAGTTCATCGCAGAGTGACTTGGCCAGCCTCATCCAGGCGTGAGTGCTGCATGGGTCTGGGAGGGGTAGGGAGAGGCTGCCGCGGGTGGGAGGGGCAGGCCAGAGAGGGGGTGGCAGGAAGCAGCAGCACAGTTGGTCTCCTGGGCATCCACAGGGGCCAGCAATTTGCACAGCAGATGCAGCAGCAGAACCCAGAGTTTGTGGAGCAGATCCGGAGCCAGGTGGTGCGCAGCCGGACACCCAGCGCCAGCCACGAGGAGCAGCAAGAGTGACGGTAAAGCCAGCAGTGCTACCTGTGCCAACGGTCGGGCTGTCCTGTCCCTGCTTGTTTGTACCTATAAGAAGTTCCCCGTTTGCTGTCTACATGAGAATTAGTGTCTGTTTCCAAAGCTAACCTCGGGTGTTGGTCCTCAGACCTCAGCCTTTGGGGTGTCACTGGCCTGGAGTTTTGTCAGGTTCTCCAGTTCCCGCGTCACACCGCTGGGTTTGCTGGCTCATTCCACGCTGCTTGATTATTTATTTGCGTGGCTTCTGGAGACTGAACTCAGGTCCTCAGGTGTGAGAGAAGTGAGCACTTCACAGGCTGAGCCATCCCCCAGCCCTCATGTTTAGTTTTGTATTTTGGTTTTTGGTCTCAAGTTGCCAAAGCTGTCCCCAAACTAGAGAACCAGGCGACAGGTGTCTGCCACCACATTTAACTGCTGGTAGTTTCCCTGACGCCATCCTGCACCCGGGTGTCCCCATCTGGCCTCCTTTGCTGGACCCCTAGTCTGGTCCTGGCTTTCACTGCCCTGGCTTCTGTCCACAGCTCATCTGTGTGGTGATCCCATCGCTCCTCGGCCTCCTGGTGTTTTAGCATTTCCTCCGTCAGGCTGCCCAAGAGAGACTGGACCTGCATGTTAAGACGGACTCGCCCCTGTGTTTCTCTTCATTCCCAATCCCCCACTTCTGTTTTTTGTATTCTTGCCACCCCCATCCCTTCCCGGAAGAGTCAACCGGACAGCCACACACCAGCACCCTCTCCTTCAGCACCTAGGGAAGCTGCTGGGGGTGCAGGGCAGCACGGGAGCCACGGGTGTGTTCTGGGCCCTTGGGTCCCAAGCCCTACCCTGCCTGGTTTAAAGGGACTTGAATGGTTGACTCTCAGCCCCCTGGGAAGCGTCCACTGCCAGCCCCAGCCAGGTGCCAGCGTTCTGTGCTCACACTTGGGTTGCAGGTCCCAACAGGTGCCCCTGCCTGACTTATCTCAGTGGCCTGTGCCACACAGGCGAGACCTGTGACTTTTGCCCCACTTGTGGACTGTTCATGTCCCCTTCACAGCCAGCAGTTCTGCTCCATCCTCAGCCCGGACAGAAGACATGGGCACCCGTCCTCCATCTCGTGGGAATTCAGTGTCTCGGGTTGGTGGGCAGTCTGAGGGTGTTGGCCCCGTGCCATGTGCTGAGCCCTGAAACAGCCACCAGAACCATTTTTGTTCAGGGGCAGTCTGTACAGTGAGTGAGGCCATGTAGCTGTGTCGTGTCACACCCCCCCCCTCAGCTCCGGGAATGGGAGGCAAGATCTCAGGACAGCTGAGCCACCAGTAGTGTCAGGTGTGTGTGTTGTAGGTAGCCAGTAGGAAATTGGCCCTGTGGCCAGTGCCATCCGCTTGCAGGCCGCAGCAGTGCCCACCTGGGCACAGAACTCCTGGGTAATAAAGAGACAAGGGTGATACTTGGCCTCCCGTGTCAGCCTGAATCCCATGGACCTGACAACTAACACACCGCAGCCTGGAGGGTCAGTCTGTCCCCCTGATGACACACCACAGCCTGGAGGGTCAGTCTGTCCCCCTGGCACACAGGAGACATAGCAAGGCCCCTCAGATACTGTACACATGGAAAACCGTTGGTTAGAGTTGGATGCAGGCTACTGGTAGGTCCGTGGGGGTGGGGCCTGCACCCATGGGGAATGGGGTTCCTGCCCTCATACCTGAAGACCCAGCCTTGCAGCCAGCTACCCTGTCCCTTCCCTGCTAACAGCTTCACAGGCAACAGGAAACCAAGCCCTGTCAGGGAGGCAGGCGGAGGCCGGCACCCGGCAAGCTCTTGGCTAGGAAGGCACAGGCCTTTAGGACCAATCTCTGTGTTTCTGAGTGACTGCAGAGAATGGCCTTAGCCTGTTCTGTAGTCTTCAGGGTGAGTAACCCCAGGGCCTGACTGTATTGTCCCCAGTGTTGGTGATCATCTGCCTTGGAGGCCATGCTTTTGGGGTGCAGTGCTTAGTATTGGAGAGAGACTTGCAGGTGACGATAGACACCTACTTCTACCTGTCTGCCTGTTACCAACACAGCCGTTCTCATTTGTCGTCAGAGCCAGCAACTGTGAGAACTTCATGATGGTGATCCCGGCACTTGGTAGGCAGAGGTCTCTGAGAGTTGGAGACCAGCCTCATCTACAGAGCGAGTTCCAGGACGGCCAGGGTCACACAAAAACCCTGAGTAGGAAATTTAAAAAAAGGGTGGGGGGTTCTTTGGTGTGTCCATGCCAAAGCATGCATGTGATGTCAGTCAGGTGTCTCCTATCATGTGGCACTCAGTGATGGAACTAGACTCTTCAAATTCGGGGGTATGTGCCTTTACCAGGCCAGCCATCATGGCTGGCCCATCTTCAAGGACACTGATTCACCTATATAAAGGTCCTCATTTTTGACTGGGGCTGGGGGGGGGGGAGTGGAGTAGAATACGCTCAGAAACAAGCTGTGTGCCCTTGGGTGAAGGTCGTGGCACCGCATTTAATCCCAGCACTCAGGAGGCAGAGGCAGGTGGATCTCGAGTTAGGGGCCAGCCTGGGCTACAGAATGAGTTCCAGGACAGCCAGGGATAACAAACGCTGTTTCAGAAAAAGTGTGTAGCCAGGAAGCAGCCATGCCATTCTATTTAGCATCTTGTCTCTGGAAGAATGGTCCAGAATTTCAAGATCACACCCTGGCTCAGCCTTGCTATATGGAAAACGTGACTCCATGTCCTTGGGTGGTTTCTTCACTATGTGCACGCTCTCCATTATAGCCCATGGCACCTTTGAAGTCAGCAACCCACAAAAGGGCTAAATAATGGGGCAGGGACTCTCAAGCCTGTTATACTGGCCCTTGAGAAGGCAGGAGAGTCAGTTCAAGGCCAGCTATAGCTAGGTAGTAAGGCATGGGTAGTATGGATTTGCACAGCCGTAGCTTCCCTCTTGTACTTTGTGCCTGCGGTGACATGATGCCCTTTGGGGCATGGCTACTTGACACTGAGTGTCCTTTCCTGGCCTAGACTTGGTGTGGTCCAGGGACACTGCAGGGCCCAGACACCCCACAGAGAATAACTTGAGCCTGTGCTAACCTGGCCCATCCCCAGCATGTTATACACCAGTGCTGGGTTTGGTTTGGTTATTTTGAGACAGGATTTCTCTATGTAGACCAGGCTGGCATAAAACAGATCTGCCTCCCAAGTGCTGGGAATAAAGGCGTGTGCCATCACTGCTCAGCAATGTTTTTGGCTTTCAATGTCAGGGCAGGAAATGGTTCCGTGCTTAAGCGCATTGGCTGTTCTTCTAGAGGACCCAGGTTCTGTTCCTAGCACCCACTCAGTGGCTCAACTAACTCCAGTTCCAGAGAATGTGATGTCCCATTCTGGCCTCCTACAGCACTGCGCATGGTGCATAGACACACATGCCGGCAAAAAGTAATAAACTTGAGTCCCAGCCCAGGGGATGCAGAGGCAGGAGGATCTCTGAGTTCAAGGACAGCCTGGTCTACAGAGTGAATTACTGGGAAGCCAGGGCTACACACAGAGAGAAAAGGGAAAATGACCGGAGGTTGTGTAGATTTCCCTATGTCTCCTTCCTGCAAGCAAAATTTGTTTTTAAAATGCTGCTGTCTCCAGCCCCCAAGGCTTGCAGCATCCGGCCCTCATTCTGAAAACAACCCTGGTGTGAGTCCTGACCAGCCCCGATGTGAGCCTTGCAGGTTCTCCTTGCAGGAACAGGATGAAATGTCCCTAAGTCTCAGTTGGGGCCAGCACTCTGGTGTGGGCCATTCATTCACAAAGTGGGCAGACAGAGCCCTTTCCCCAGGAACTGGGGCTGCAGATGGAGCTGCAAGGAGCTCCAAAATTCCACTGTGTTAGACCTATTCTCAGGGGTGTCTGATATCTGCTTCTCCTGTTCCATTCAAGATCCAAACCACAGAACCAGTTTCACTCCTGCCATCCCAACACTAGGAAGACTAACGGAAGTTCAGGGCCAGAGTGGACTATATAGCTAGGCCCTGTCTCAAGAATTCAGACGAGAAAGGCCAATGGCCGGATGGTGGTGGGGCACGCCTTTAATCCCAGCTCTCGGGAGGCAGAGGCAGGTGGATCTTTGAGTTCGAGGCCAGCCTGGTGTGTAAGAGCTAGTTCCAGGACAGGCTTCAAAGCTACAGACAAACCCTGTCTCAGGGAACCAAACAAACAAAAAAACAAAACCCTTCACTGCAAACTTCCCTGGTGCTTGTTACAGTTCACCTCCTACAGACCCACCATGAACTGCTTTCCTTCAGCTAACTGCCTTTCCCTGGGATATTTTAGAGCTGTGGTCCTAGCATATTCTTTTGCATCCTTTGGGCTCTCTTAATACGATGTCATCGTACACAGTTCGTTTTGATTGCTGCGTGGTTCTGCACTGTATGGACAAACCACGGCATTTCTATCTGCTCATCAATGTTAAGGGTTGGAGTTTGTGGAGGCCCAGATGTGTAAGCCTATTTCCACCTCGAGCAGGGGTCAGAGAGCTGGAACTTCTGTTCCTTTAAGATTATTGTCTGTTTCTCAAACAGAGGTCCCGCCTAGATTTGGTGGGAGAGGTTATTGTCAATAGGGTTGGCTAATATACAGACCTTGTATTTCAGGGATAGAAAATCCAAGGATCCACTAAGTTCCTATTCTTTAGGGAGATGACGTAGGGAGTGGTTTGCCTGCAGGATGTTTTGGTCTAGAATGTGGGTGTGACTTGCCCTCTTGTAGCAACAGAGTGTTTATCTAAGAAGGAAGCCTGAAACCTTCAATTGGTCTGTTCATTTCCTTTTATTATGTATGCTAATGCAGGTTTCTTTTCAGCTGCTCCTACCTTTTGGTGTCAGGGGTATTTTAAGCAATTGGAAATTAAATGCAGGTGATTTTAGTACTCACTGTAACTCCCTCCTCATACTATCCTATGCTTCTGTTTTATTATTTTTCTTGCGTCTTTGTATCCTTTACTAACTCTTCTGATCCCAATGCCCCTGCCCTGGTAAGTGGTATTTTTCTCGAAGCTCGTCTCTGACAGAAGTTTGGGAATTTTGTAATATATGTCATTTTTTTTATAAAATTTGCTTATTTTTATGGTTTTATTTAATTTTTTTATTTTATGTGCATTGGTGTGAAGGTGTCAGATCCCCTGGAACTGAAGTTACAGACAGTTGTGAGCTGCCATGTGGATGCTGGGAATTGAACCCGGGTCCTCTGGAAGAGCAGTCAGTGCTCTTAACCTCTGAGCCATCTCTCCAGCCCTATGTGTCATTTTTTGTTTGTTTCTTTTATGTTTTCTTAGTTTGGGTTTCTGTTGCTGTGAAGAGGCACCGTGACCACGGCAACTTTTTTGTTCTTGAGACAGAGTTCTCTGAGTAGCCATGGCCTACTTTGTAGACCAGGCTCTCCTTGAACTTGGAGATCCACCTATTTTCCCCGCCTGAAAGTTGGGGTAAAAGGTGTGTGCCACTCTGCCTGATTTATCCCAACTCTCATTTTAAAATTTATTATTTTTAGGATGTGCATTGTGTGCACCATCAGTATGCAGGTGTCTGTGCAATATGGTGCATGTGTAAAGGTCAGAGGTCAATCTTTTTTTTTTTAAAGATGTATTTATTATGTATCCAGTGTGTGCCAGCTTGTGTGCCTGCAAGGCAGAAAAGGACACCAGATCCCAGTACAGATGGTTGTGAGCCACATTGTGATGGCTGGAAATTGATCTCAGGACCTCTGGAAGGACAGTCAGTGCTCTTAACCTCTGAGCCATCTCTCCATCCCCCAGAGGTTAATCTTATAGAGTCAGTTCTACCTTTGGGACCAGGGATCACACTTAGCACATCATTCTTTTTTTTTTAATATTTATTTATTATGTATACTATATTCTGTCTGTGTGTGTTTTTGCAGGCCAGAAGAGGGCACCAGATCTCATTACAGATGGTTGTGAGCCACCATGTGGTTGCTGGGAATTGAACTCAGGACCTTGGAAGAGCAGGCAGTGCTCTTAACCGCTGAGCCATCTCTCCAGCCCTCAGTCATCATTCTTGTGATGCCAAGATCCTTTGACCCACTGAAGATTTCAGTGCTCCCATCTCCCTGCCCTGTAGCCATCACGTGGCCTTGCCAGATCTTAACCACAGAAAGTAAAAGGCCGACCTTGAAATCCTCACCTCCCCCCACTTTCCAGGTTGCTGAATCTTTTTAAAAAGTAAGGTGATCAGTTCAGAGAATCTGTTGTAGTGACAAGAAGTTGAGCCCAGCGGCGAGGGTGTGCCGCAGGCCCCATCTGACGCTTCTGTTAGCCTTGGAGGGAAGTTCTTCGTGTGACGGCAGGTAAGGTTCTTTAGAGAGGGTTTTGTCTGGAACATCCCGACTCTCCAACAACAGCTAAGCAGGTCTAATTGATCCAGTCAATGGAATAACACTTAGCAATAAAAAAAGAAACCAGGACTAGACACATGGCTTGGCAGTTAAGAGTACTAGCGGCTCCTGTGCAGGACACGTGTTTGGTGTGATGTGCAGGGGGATCGATCAGCCCTTCTTCTGACCTTGGTCACCAGGTCAGAAGCGCAACAGGGCGCATAGATATACTTGTGGATAAAGCACTCACACACGTAAAATTAAACCAAATCGCCATGTGGTGGTGGCACACAACTTTGATCACTCTGGAAGAAGAGACAGGAGGATCTCTGAGCTTGAGACCTGCCTGCCTACGGAGTGAGTTCCAGGAAAACCAGGACTACACAGAGAAACCCTGTCTTGAACAAAAAAAAAAAAAAAGGGAAAAAAGAGAAAAAGGTAATAAAGCATACGGGTAGTGCCCATGTTGTTGGCATCTATAGTCTGTTCAGGTGCCACGCCATTTCAGGAGACGGTTCCTGGGCTGCAGGTGTGTAAGAGAGAGTACCTTGTCATTAACTGTGGTTGTTACGGGGCACAGTAGATCTCTTGAGCTTGGATTTATGCCTGCTGTCAACAGATATTTGGTGGACTCACGTATCTTCTTAAGTCATCATGAGGGGCTTCAAGAAAGTTTATCTGTAGGAAATCGCTATCAATCACAGGCATTCAGCACCATGCACCCCTGGACAGCTCCCGGCAGCAGCTTCTTCCGGAACTATATGTCCACGTTCCTGTTTCCTGACGGAAGCATTTGGTAGTTGCATTCATAGCTGGGAGGGGGACTGCTTTCCGGAGCCGGTAGGCGTTGCAGAACGATTGGCAGCAGGGCGGGCCAATAGAATCAGGGAACTGTCGAATGGCGCTGACAGCGTCCAATAGACTCTGGCGTGGGCGGGGCGTGGGCAGCGGCTTGCAGCCCAGGGGGTCTCTGCTGGTCCGCTGTGGCGGGGTCCGGACGGCGCGGCGGTTGGCGGCAGGCGGCACCGGCCGGAGACTCTGGGGCCTGGCGGAGGTACGAGGGGCTCGGGGCGGGGCCCAGGGGCCGCGCTCCGGAGCGCGGCTGCACGGAGCACACAGTAGGCGCTCAATAAGTGCTCAACGAGAGAAGGAGCTCGTCGGCCCCCACCCCCTTCGGCCCCAGGGAGCGGCTGCCCAAGCAATTCTCAGCCCGCAGGGCCTCTCGGCCATCCACACACAGCAGGCATTTGTTGGGTGCCTGTTGTATACGCTAGGCTTTGTGTTCACGGTGGGAAGGTCTGTTTTCGGTTTTTTAAAAGTTTACTTAATTATATCATTCATTTTTAATATTTTAAAATATTTAATTAATAGAAGTTAATTTTAGCCTTACCATATTTCATCTTACCTTACTTAATTTTATTTCGTTATTTTCTTTAAAAGAAATTCGTTTCAAATTATTTTGTATATTTCTGTATGTACATCACATGTGTGCAGTGGCCAGAAAAAGGGGTCGGATCCCCTGGGACTGGGTAGAATGTAGACATTCTTTTTTTTTCTTTTTTTCTTTCTTTTTTTTTTTCAAGACAGGGTTTCTCTGTGGTTTTGGAGCCAGTCCTGGAACTAGCTCTTGTAGACCAGGCTGGTCTCGAACTCACAGAGATCCGCCCTGCCTCTGCCTCCCAAGTGCTGGGATTAAAGGCTTGCGCCACCACCACCCGGCGAATGTAGGCATTCTTATCTGCTAAGCTATCTCTCCAGTTCCTATTTTATTATTTTTTCATTTAATTATTTTTCTTTTGGAGACAGGGTCTTCCTACATAGCCCAGGCTGCCCTGGAACTTAACTCCCTACCTAGAGCAGGCTGACCTTAAACTCAGCCTCTGCCTCCAAAGTGCTGGGATTAAAGGAGTGTGCATATTTGTTGTGGAGGGTGGTGTGTGCAAAGTCAAGACAACGTGCGGATCCATTCTCTCTCTTCCTCGCATCTCTCAGGGTCTTCTCGGGTCCTTAGACTTGGTGTGGCACCTTTATTTACACTTTGAGCTTTGTTTCATTATTTTATCTCATTTTTAGCTGAATTTGTGGTTTATTATTTTATTTTTAATTAGGGTCTTGCTGAGTTTTCCAGGCTGATCTCAAACTTGGTGGTAATTCTTCCACTTCATTGTCCCTTGTGCTGAGATTTGTACGTGTCCTGGATCTCACTCTGTAGACCTGGCTGACTTTGAACTCAGAGATCCGCCTGTCTCTGCCTCCCATGTGCTGGGATTAAAGGTGTGCGCTGCCCATGCTGGCCCAGCACAGTTTGTAATTGGTCGTTTTGTGAGAGTGCGCATGTGTATAGTCCAGACATTCGTGTCGGTGTCTTCATTGATCTTTCTTCACTTATAAACAATGGGTGTTCTCTGTATTCGTGTCTGTGCATCCCATATGTGACCAGAAGGGGGCATCGGTTTCCCAGAGCTGTGGGTGCAGCCGGTGCCCTAACTTTGCCATCCTTCCCAGCCTCTGTTTGCACACTGGGTCAATGTGTGTGCACCACGTCCTGGTCATCAAGGTACCGGGACACCAAGTATATAGAGTTCCTTCTGGGGCCGTAAGAAGGGAGCGGGGCTGGACAGGGCCCTGGGAAGGCCCTGACTGCAGCGGGAGAGCTGGGGACTGTGCGGTCAGCAGCCAGGACGACAGTGTTGATGTTTTGTGAGACAGGATCTACAGAGTCACATAGGAGCAGCCTACACTTTGGCCACCACATCTGCTCAGCCAGCCGTCACCTCACGCCTGCTCTGCACCAGGCCTCGAGGTGGGTACCAGGGGTCCAGTCGGGAGCGTGGCTTAGGTGTCTAGAGGAGGCTGTTCCAACTTCCAGAATATAGGGAGTGGTCTGTGCAGAGGCCCTGGGGCTGGTACAGGCCTGTCGTTCAAGACAGGCAAGCTGGTGTGTGGTGAGCTGAGGCCTAACCTCCTGGTAACAGACTGAGTCCCTTGTCAGGACAGCAGTACCCCAGAGAGTGCCCTGAGCGTGTCCTGACACCGATGGGAGCATTCTGTACCTGTGCACAGCATAGAAGCCACTCGGCCAAGGTGGTTACCAGGCACATGGCAGCAGGGGCCAGATGCTAAATAGTATTGAGTTTCATGTTTCCTGCGTGAGTGTGCATGTGAGTGTGCGTGTGTCTGCATGTGTGTGCACATGTGTTGTCCTCAGCCCCTTGCCATCTTGGTTTTGGAGGCAGGGTCTCAGGAACCGCCTGTGAGTCGAGCATGGCTGACCGGTTAGTGACTCCCATGGATAACGTGGCTGCCATTGTCCTCACAGCTGCCGGGCAGAGCCATGAGCCCCCAGCCCTGCGGCTGGGGCCGGTAGCCCCTGAAGCTCTGGTGTGTGACTCCATGTCTGGTTTGGCCCTGCGGTGACCAGTGTGACCCTGGTGGCCACCATGACTAAGCTCCTGGTGGCGAAGCTGCTCTGCATGGTGGGCATGTTCTTCTTCATGCTGCTGGGCTCCCTGTTGCCCGTGAAGGTCATTGAGGCCGACTTTGAGAAGGCACACCGCTCGAAAAAGGTCCTCTCTCTGTGTAACACCTTCGGAGGTGGTGTCTTCCTGGCCACGTGTTTCAACGCACTGCTGCCTGCAGTGAGAGACAAGGTGAGACCCTGCAGGCGGGCTGGGCAGAGGGCTAGTGGGGGCTCCCTGCTGGGCACATGTGAGGGATTGTCTCACAGAAGGGCCTGGGTAGGCGTGGCCTTCCAGCAGCTGCCTCATCATCAGCGACTTGGGGACTCAGTCCTGCAGCCTGGGCTGTCTCTTTCTTTTTTTAATATTTTATTTTTTTTAATTAATTTATTTTATTATGTGTACAACATTCTGCTTCCCACACACCAGAAGAGGGCGCCAGATCTCATTACAGATGGTTGTGAGCCATCATGTGGTTGCTGGGAATTGAACTCAGTACCTCTGGAAGAGCAGTCAGTGCTCTCAAGCTCTGAGCCATCTCTCCAGCCCTGGGCTGTCTCTTTCAAGGCCACAGTGAGCTCAGGAAGTCCTGAGCTGGGGTGTTCTCCTCCAGGGCGTGTGGGGGGGGGCTTGGCTCTTTCTGCAAAGCCCCAGCCGGTCAGGGCCAGCTTCTGCCTTCTGAACCACAAGCTATGGTGGCCACTTTCTTTGTCAGTGAGTGTGTGGCTGCGGTGACCTGGCCTCGCCCAGCCCTCAGGTACCTTCCCCTCCTCCAGGCCTGAACTTGTGCTGTGGCCTTGCTAGTCCCTGTCCATTGATACCTTACCGCATTAGGGGTAGGCCCCACGCATTCTTTGGCTCAAGCACAGTTCACAGATGCTGCCTCTCGTGGACAGATCCATTGCTGGGAGGGAAGAGGGCGCCCTGTCCCGTGGCTGCAGCAGCCCAGGAGGACGGAGGGCAGCTTTGCATGTGTATCTCAGGTGGTTGAGTATTTATTGTGTGTGTGCCAGTGCATGTGGATGCCAGAGGCTTTCTAGAGTCAGTGGGTCCCACGGATTCGAACTCAGAATGTCAGACTTGGCTGCAAGTACCATCACCCTTGGGCCGTCTCGCCACCTCCCCCCTCCCTTTTTTTTTTTTTTTTCTTTTCTAAAAACGCTTTGTTTTTGGCAGTGCTGGTGTCGGAACCTGAGCGAGGAAATGCTCAGGCACGCTTGGGCCCCCTGGGTTTCAGCCTTGGTGTGACCTGGGCTGTGTCTTTTGTTGCCTGCCACCACACCAACTCTGCGTGGCACACGCGAGTGACTCCTTCAGGCCGGGTCTCCACGCAGCCCAGGCTGCCCTTGAGCACCTCCCAAGGGTCCCCTGCCTGGAATGGGAGGCCTGCAGCTGACTCAGCCCTGTTCCCGCAGCTGCGGCAGGTGCTGAGCCTGGGCCACATCAGCACGGACTACCCGCTGGCCGAGACACTCATGATGGTGGGCTTTTTCCTCACCGTGTTTGTGGAGCAGCTGGTGTTGACCTTCCGCCGGGAGCGGCCGCCTTTCATCGACCTGGAGACCTTCAACGCGGGCTCGGACGCAGGGAGCGACTCGGAGTATGAGAGCCCGTTTGTGGGTGCGGGCGGCCGTGGCCGCGGGCTGTACCCCGAGCCCACAGCGCACACACATGGTGCAGGGCTGCGGCTGCGGGAGCTAGGACGCCCTGGCCCGCTGCGGCTGCTCAGCCTGGTATTCGCGCTGTCGGCACACTCGGTGTTCGAGGGCCTGGCACTGGGGCTGCAGGAGGAGGGTGAGCGTGTGATCAGCCTGTTTGTGGGTGTGGCTGTCCACGAGACGCTGGTGGCCGTGGCCCTGGGCATCAGCATGGCCCGCAGTGCAGTGCCGCTGAGGGACGCAGCCAAGCTGGCAGTGACTGTAAGCGCCATGATCCCCGTGGGCATCGGGCTGGGCCTGGGCATCGAGAGCGCCCGCAGCGTAGGCAGCAGCGTGGCCTCGGCGCTGCTGCAGGGCCTGGCCGGTGGCACCTTCCTGTTCGTCACCTTCCTGGAAATCCTGGCTAAGGAGCTGGAGGAGAGGAGCGAGCAGCTGCTCAAGGTGCTGTTCCTCGTGCTGGGCTATGCCGTCCTGGCCGGCATGGTCTTCCTCAAGTGGTGACGGCACTCGCCTGCCTGTCACCTGCTGCCCACCTGAGCTGTGGGTTTCCACAGGACACACAGGTCACGTTCTGCGCCAGCCGCACTCCAGGGCCACGGCCCACACGGGGCTTCCCGTACTCCACCCACTGATAATGCTTTCAAAAGAAGTCTTAAAGTTCTTTACCAAAGCCTTGTGGCCATGTCACCTCATGTCCCCGTCACTCCACCTGTCCCTGCCAACACTGCTGAGCCACCAGGGATGGAGTGTGGGGAGCTGCTGCACCCTCCACCCCATGTTCCCAACATGTTCTGTGTAGCCCAGGCCCTGCCCGCCATTGTCACCCAAGTTTTTCCAGCTGCTCCAGCATGCCGTGTGACAGGTGCATCAAATGAGCAAGGAACTCCTTCCCAGGGGACAGCCCAGTGCTGGCCGGGCCCTCAGGAACCCACTCTTGCTTCCAGAGTGGATGGGGACCGCGACTCCAGGGCCAAGCATGTGGTCTCCTGGGAGGGAGTGGGACGTGGGGAGTGGCTTGGTGGTCACGTCTGAGTTATGTCCTCACCACTGGGGTCTCCAGAAAACACAAGGGGAGACTCCCAGGATGCGGGCAGGAACTCAGCTCCTAGCAACCATGGTGCCTGTTGCCGTGGCAACACCAGCATCCTGGGACAACCTGAGTGAGAACTCTTCCTCTGGGGACTAAGGCTGGCACAGCCTACCCCTTTTCATGACCTTGGCTCTGTCCACCAGGCACCACCTCAACATTGTCCCCTTGGTGGCTGGATGTCAGACTCCTATCTAGTGCCACATCACCATGGCAAGGCGACCCCTGCCTGGGTCCTACTCAGAAGATATGAAGTACAAAGAACAGGGCTTTGGGGGCAACTGGGCCTTAGGCAGTGTCCCCAGAGCCCCAGGGCCTGGGCCACCTCAGTGCTGTAATAAGCCAGGGTTCACATGGCACTTCCAGACATCAGGGCATGCGGGACCCGGTGCCTCCAGGGAGGGACCAACTGTTGCGACCATGAAGTCTAACCCCGTCTCTGCAGGTGTGGGGACAAGCCCACAGTGCCACCTGGCACGCCCCCGGTGCTTTTCTTCCACCCTCCACGTAACACCCATGGGACATCTAAGTGTTCCACATCTTCCCTTGAGCCCAGGTGAGCCCTCATGGAGCCACCGTGCCAGCGCAGGTGTGGGCGTAGGTGACAAAAGACCATACCCGAGTAGGATGCACCTGATCCCTGTCTGACCATCCCAGCAGGAAGACTGTACCCCCTATGGCTGCATTAAGTGGGACCCTCTTCCCAGCACCAACTACTCTGCCCCTGGGAACACCAGCAAGCCTGTGTGCCTGTCACCATGGACCTGGTCCCCTCCCCATCAGTCCTATGAGTCTCTGAGAGTCATCCCAAGCACCAGCTCCCTGGCAACTGTGGGAGCTTCTGCCTCCCCTACAGACCTTCGGGTCCAGGTAGCAGCATCCTTGGAGGGGTGGGGATCCCAGGCCCAGGAGACACCCGCCATCACTCCTCAGGCCTGCCTGGCCACGTGTATAGTGGGCAAAGAAGTGGGCCTGGGAACTCAGGAGGCCCTTGGGCTCCCCGTGCTGTGGACTAGGATGGGAGCTTGTGTCAGTGAAACCAGTCACTTCTCATATTGGAGTGCAAAGAAGCAGGGTGAGCATCCTGCCTGGCACCACAGTGACCCCTTGCTGGGGTGGTCCCTCTGACTGTAGCAGGTATGACTGGAGAGGTAGTACCGCCCATGGCCACCCACACACACCACACCGCCTCCTGTGGGGGTGGGGCGGGCGGCCCCACTTCACTGCTGATGTGTAATAACATGTCAGCCTCTCAGGGCTTGTTTGTGTTCCGCTAACAGAAGTTATTAGTGCGGCAGGCGAGATCAGCAGGCAGCTCCTGGCGCCCTGCCTCTCTCGCTGGTGCAGGGGCCAGGAGGGCCGTTGCCTGCATCCCACCCGCCAAGGGAGCACCTCAGTCTGTGTTCCCCCATGGGGGGGTGCTGGGGCCTTCTGGGTGTCTGCGGACTCCACCTGCCCTCACCCAGGAGCTCCCTGATGTGGGACAAACATGCGTCCCAGGTGTCTCCCTGAGTCTTCCAGGGGAGGGGGGTCACACATGTAAGTCGTCCCCATGCCGCCGTGAACTTAGGAAGCTGCCATTCAGCTGAGAGAAATGAAATGAACATGTCAGTATCATCAGACACTGTCCCCACAGAAGGAAGAAAAGTCAAGGGACAAGGCTGATAAAGAACTCAGTGGGCAAGGGGGGAGTTGTCTATTTATGGTGACAGAACTGACTCCTGCCAATTGTCCTGCTCAGTGGCACCTGTGCAGGCACAGGTGTGTGTTCCCCCCATGTAAAAAAAATTAAGGGTTTTTTTTTTGATTTGGGGGGTTTTTACTTTGTTTTTGTTTTGAGACAGGGTTTCTCTTTGTAGCCCTGGCTGTCCTGGAACTCACTCTGTAGCCCAGGCTGACCTCGAACTCACAGAGATCCTCCTGCCTCTGCCTCCAGAGTGCTGGGATTAAAGGGATGCGCCATAACCACCCAGCTAAGAAAATAGTTTTTATTTGATCCTACTGTACCTATTGGTTTCGTGGGAGCCTAGGCAGTTTCGTGGATGCTCACCTTAGTAGACCTGGATGGAGGTGGGTGGTCCTTGGACTTCCCACAGGGCAGGGAACCCTGATAGCTCTTTGGGCTGAAGAGGGAGGGGGACTTGAATGGGGGAGGGGGAGGGAAAGGGGAGGCAGCGGTGGGGAAGAGACAGAAATCTTTAATAAATAAATTTAAAAATTAAAAAAAATAGTTTTTAAACCGGGAATAATATCCATGACTAATCCCAGCATTCCAGAGGCAGAGGCTGGTGGATATCTGTGAGTTCCAGGCCAGCCTGATCTACAAAGTGAGCACTATCTCAAAAAATACAATAAGCGGGGCTGGAGCGATGGCTCAGTGGTTAGAGCACTGGCTGCTCTTCCAGAGGACCCGGGTTCGATTCCCAGCACCCACATGGCAGTTCCAGAGAATTTAACAGTCTCACACAGATATACATTCAGGCAAAACACCAAGGCACATGAAATATAAAGAAAAAATAAAATAAGGATTTGAACTATTTTGGGTCTATTTTGTTTCTGTGAGTGGATGTTTTGCATCCGTGTTGTCTTTGCACAACGTGTGTCTCTAGTCCCCAAGGAGATCAGGAGATGACATCATCCGTCTCCACAGAGTCCAGGCTGGTCAGGGCAGCAGTCTAGCTGCTGTCTCAAAGAAGACAAAATACTGGGCTCCAAAATGCCAGTCCATGTATTTTGGGATTTTCTTTGTGTGGCTGGTGTGTGTGTGTCTGTGCAGTGCCTGCAGAGGTCTGAAGGTAGCGTCAGGAGTAACAGATGGTTGTGAGGCACCATGTCCTCTGAGAGCGGCCGGCACTAACCGCTGAGCTACCCACTGCCCTCCCCGTCCTTGTGTCAGCACGGCGGGCTCGCAGCTGCAATGCCTCAGCCTCCCTGGTGCTGCCCTGGCAGGGTCGAACCATGCTGCTAGGTAGATTTGGGTTCTGAGGACCCATCTTTTTCAGGTCCTGTTGGGAAACACTTCATGACTTTATGATGGAGCAATCTCCCCAGGCCCTTTCTGCAGCCCCTTCTGCTGGTGGGGGCAGAGCAGGGCTTGGTAGGCAGGCTAGAACTCCAGACTGCGGTGTGGGCTGCCTAGCCTCTAGAGCTCCTGTGCCCAGATACCTGCCCTACACGGCTCTGCAAGGTGCGCTTGGGGCAGAGCGCAATACCCCAAGCCCCAGCCAGCCACAGAGCCCTGCTGTGGGAAGAGGCAGGAACGGAGCCTGTCTCCAGTGGCTCCTGATCCCAGAGCCTGGCCTGGCGTCTATAAATAGCAGCGGTATGTGGACAGGCACCTCCGTGTGAGTCAGCCTGGGCTGGTACTTGAAGGAGCCAGGGGGCCGGCCAGAGCTGGGCTCAGCACTCACTGTTGGTCTCTTAGGGAAGCCAGGTGGCCAGGAGCCTAGTCAGAGGAAGCTTGACCGCTCGCCCCAAGCCTCCCCCTCCTCCATGCCCAGCGCCTGAGAAAGGGGGCCACTCTGTGGGTTTGTTCCCAGCTACTGAGGGGTGATGGCAGGAGTCTCTAGGGGTGCTTCTGTGGGACAGAGGTTTTACTTCTTATCTCTGGACTCAGGGTAGGAGGAACGGAGACACCATCTGAGGGTCCCCACAGTGCAAGGGTAGGAGGGAGGTGAATTCTTAGCTCTAGGCAGCCCAGGCTGAGGCACATACAGAAAAAGGAGAACTGGACCATGAGATCCTTGAACACACACACCAAATTGGACTATGACCCAGGAAGAAGGAGCCATGTTAGAATTAAGGAGAGGGCCAGATGGTGGCGGCACACACCTTTAACCCCAGCACCCAGGAGGCAGAGGCAGGCGGATCTCTGTGAATTTGAGGCCAGCCTGGGCTACAGAACAGTTCCTAGACAGTCAGAGCAGCATAAAAAATCCTGTTCTGAAAACAAAACACCGGGGCTGGAGAGATGGCTCAGTGGTTAAGAGCATTGCCTGCTCTTCCAAAGGTCCTGAGTTCAATTCCCGGCAATCACATGGTGGCTCACAACCATCTGTAATGAGGTCTGATGCCCTCTTCTAGCCTGCAGACATACACACAGACAGAATATTGTACACATAATAAATAAATATTAAAAAAAAATAAAACAAAACACCAACAAAAGAACTGAGGAGGGGAAGGAGGAGGTGGGCGGGGGCGGGGGAAACAGAGCAGAGGGCTAAGTGGAGCCCCGGGCACACGGTTTCCATCCCAGTAATAGGAGCACCAGCCTAATCTACAGAGCAAGACCATGTCACAAACAAAACATTTCTCTCTCTCTCTCTCTCTCTCTCTCTCTCTCTCTCTCTCTC